GCCCAATTACCCGGATCAAGATAACCGACTGCAATAACTGAATAAATAAATAAATAAATAAAATTGTGAATTATTTCGTTTAAAGAATATTAATCCAGGATTAACATCAAAGACATACTGTAGCCAGGCCCTATAAATCCAACAAAGCTTTTAAGATTAGAACCAACTTTATTAAGTGCATTTTTCGAACCGGAGAATGTTTCATCCTCTTTTTTATTATTAACAACGGGACCAACAGTTATAATGCTAGCGCCCGGGATAGATGTCGTATCATTATTGGAATTGCCTACGACTTCACGTTCATTATTATCACCTACAGTAGTTTCATCTGGTGGATGTCTCGTTGTGGATTCTGACGGTAATGTCGATTTGTTGTCCAACGATGGAATATTCATATCTGATTCAATAAATCCAATTTATCAAATTACAAACAACCTTACGATTTTAGCTGAATATATATAGCTTTTTTGTTTATTCATAATGGATTCAAAAAAAAAACCATTTGGACAAATTACTGTCTGTTCTGGGTGTGCACAAATTCGTGATACATCAAAATTAGTGAGCCGTTATAATCCTTTTTTGTTACCCGACTATATATTTTAAAAATATAGTTTTTTTTTTTTTGTTTAGTAAACAAAAGAATGCTAGAATGTTGTTACCTTTATTGTTGATTAATTTTATAGTTATGAAATACGTAGTATCAAGATTAGAATAGTGTAACAGTATAATGTATAACGGCACTACTTAATCCAGCTTGCTTACCGTTCTTAACGTTTAAATATTCAAAAATAGATTGATTTACAAATATTTACGTTTCACAAGCATTGGATTTTTTGAAAAAAAATTTGATTGAAAAAAATTGCATATGCTAAAAGTATACGTAGACACAATTATAAATTCTTTAATTAAAATTGTCGTTATTAATTAAATTAAAATTATTCTTTTAAAATTACTTATTAAATTAAAATTATTAATACGCAGGATTATTAAAGATACGAATTCAGGTCAGATAAAGTTACATATAATAATTGGAGTACTGATTGCTTTGGCAATGATTTCTTCCATTTTTATTTAGCAGTCAAGCAAAAATTGGAGCGTTTGAAGGAGGTATTATTTATGTGTCAAGTTGTGCATTTATTTACAAAAAAAAATCTTTTGACAAAAGAAATTG